TAAAAAAATAATCAATCTCATTCCCTAGACGTCGATTCTGCAAAAATGTAAAGTCATCGATTCAAAATCGATTTTTTTTACCAAGCACTAGATGTGACTGGAAGCTTCAAAAGAAGATGAAGCAGATTTCACTAGTTGACGTGTTTCCAGCTATGCAGGGTCTTCAGGTTGGGTCTGTAGCTGAATGACATAAACACTTTTTTTTAAAACATGATGATTGACTTCTTTATAAGCCTTTTGCAAAGTGAACTGAAAACTAAACTCCTACATGCAATGACTGTCACTATACTCAGACTTGGGAGAGATGCAGACGAGAGCATGAGAAATGAATTTAAATAAGAGAGATTGAGCCAATAAAAGTTATTTTGGAGTAGAAAAATTTTACTAGTGTAGATTACAGGATTAACATGTTTACCATCAGTGTGTTGAAATTAAGAAAAAGAAGAAAGAAAAACAATACAGCTTCCAATGTTTGATTTTATCTAACTGCATTTTCCTCCAGTTAAATTGTCTTGCAGTAGGTTTATAAAGAACACTCTCAATACTCTGTGGTATCTTTTCTTGCCTGAGATGAACAGATTCTCATTCCGTTCAAAACAGCATGTAAAACCACCCAAAGAGAAACGCACCAAACAGGGAAGCTTACCACAGATACAACGGCTTCTGACATCTTTACACTTCACGGCAGCTGAAACAGTCGTATGCATAGTCTGCGTTTGCATCGGGTTTTAGACAAACAGGTTAGACTCGAGGTTAGAAAGACTTAAAGCAACAAAAAGAAGTGAAGCACGTTGTGGGGGGGAAAACAATATAACCTACAACTCAATCCCATAAAGTGCTATCAACAGATGCTCAGGTGCAAAGAGCTTGTCACAATTGCCTGCTGAATGGGAGCAAGCTAATTACTGGATGTTGGAGAGGAGAGAGGATAGTGGTGTCAACTACTCTTCAGCTGCAAATTTTCACTCTGCTACTGTGTGCCGTTTGATCTTCTCTAGCAGCTGTTGGAGGTGATGTGTGAGGGTGGATTGCAGATGCCGTAATTGGGAGTGTGAAACGATATCTGTTATCTGCAGCTAAATAAGACAAGTACTGCATCTACAGTCTGTATGAAATACGGCCTTAAAAGACAAAAACATGATTCACTATATGATTAACCAGCTTTAAATATTGTCCAGTATGGTGGAGGACCTGTCATACTATGGGTTTTGGAAGATATCCACATATATCAAACCTTAATAATCCAGCCAAATACAGGCCAACTAACAATGGTAAACAGCAGATTAAATGGTTTGAGAAGTCTGCTTTTCTTTATTAATGCAGCACTATTTGAAGAAAAATACAATAGATTCAAATTACATGTTCTTTCAGGGGTTTAAAAGCAATTTATTTAATTTCATTTCACGATTTCTGCTCTAATATGCTTTGCAAACTGTTCTATCTACAGTTGACTGATGTTCTTATCCAGTCTCTCCTGTATTAACACCCGGTGGACTTTGTTATGTTGGAGAAGTGTTCCTAAACGTGATCAAGGATCTGTTGAATTAAGATCCCTAAAAAAGGGAGTAAATGTAACAATGTGTTTAATGGTCAACTTTACAAACAATATATTTTATGAGAAAAGTTTAAGTGAAGTTTAAACCATCCAAAAGGCTTTTTAGTTTGTATATTGATAAAGAAAACTAATAGGTGTTTTTAATAAAAGGCACTATTGTAACAAAATGTAAAAGAAAAAAAAAAGGAGGGTTGCTGATTGTTATATTCTAAACTCTTTAATAAAAGTGATCGGATAGAGAAATCTAATCTAATATGTAAAGCAATACATAAAAAATGAAACTAAATTAAAAAAAGGACACCGACTTTAAAACAAAATACATCAAAGCATACATAACAAAACAAATATAATGAAATGATAAATCTGTCTTGCAAAACTGATACTTGCATTTTTCTTTAGGTTTATTTTCTGTATTCTCTTTAAAGGTACACTATGCAACCGGTGTTGATTTTCCAGCGAGGCTCCCCCCAGACGGCGAAAGTAAAAGTGCACTGTCGTAAATATGCACAGCTGTTCTCCTGGTTTCTCCGTCAAGCCAGGCGCGGTTGTTTTGAGCTTAGCAGACAGGCG